TTTAGTATGTGACTTGACATTTACTGGCTGGAAAGAACATCAAAGGTTTATCAATGGGTTGACTCAAATGATGAACACTTGTTTCTTTTTAAAAAGACAAAGTGCATTTTACCAGCATATGTAGTATTTTGCAGTTCATTAAAGTAGGGAAAGTGAGCTTCAAAACATTCAAATAAGAATAGAGTTCTCAGCCCTCATTCTCTGTGTGTGTTATTGTTTGCATTAGCGAAGGCTGGGGAGTTGAATAAAGAAAATCCCATAAATGGCATTTCAAAAGAAAGTTAAGGGGTGAATCATCAGCATGATACGTGAGGATTTTGCCACATGGCTTCCAGGTGAATAGGAGTTGTACAGTTAAGTCTCCACATACTGAAAAATTAAGCCCAATTTCTTCTTTTTTATGTTATTTAATTAGTCACAATATAAACCTCAACAAAAATATACATTTAAATTCAAAGCTAAGACAGAAATATATCTTTTGGCAGCATGGATGTTTTGTTCGGTAGCATATCTAGCTATATTAAGGATTCCTAGGTGCTTAAATCCTATGATAATGGGGTATCCTAGAGAAGCCAAGGACAGAAATAATTCTTTGGCTTCAGCACCTTCTTTCATTAAACTACAGTTGTTGGCAATGCCATCACTAAGGACATGCTTTTGACTCTTTCCCCTTTCAGCATGTCCCAGGAGTCCTTTGTAAAATCCTAAAGCCACCACTTCAGATCCAGTCTTCTTGGATGTTTGGAATAATGTATATGTCACTCACTTGTCTACATGGCAACCATTAGCAGAGTTAAAAGGAGAGAACTGTAGACTTTCATTCAAGAATTACGCTAAATCATGATAGGGTTCAGTCAATCAGACTGCAAAATTTGGTTTTCAGGGAAAACCCACATCCCTTGACAAATTAGAAGCCATAATAGGATGGAAGTCCTGACTTGGTCATTTAGCCTCACAAAGGTACCTGTGACTTGTTTGGTTAAAAAAAACTTGTGAACTAGATTTTGGCAGCATGAAACTTTTTATTCTGAAATGATAAATCTTTCAGACTCTGAATGTCAATGCTTCCCAATCATTTTAAAATTATATGCTATTTACGCAAGAAGTTTTATACATGGAGAGCGCGAGAGAGTGCGAGAGCAAGCTCACTACTATACTACAAGTATAGAATACATCAAAGGCAAATTGTTTCAATGAACTTAGAACCATGTATTTAGTATGCTCCTGAAATAAATATTAGCTAAATAGATGCAAGACACAAATCTTTATTTAAAAAGAAGTTTGCTAACCAGTGAATTCAGCTCCTTCATCAACTCCTGCCGCAATCTGCAGTTTTAAATCTGGATCATTCTTCCCACTTTACTGCATCTGGAGACAAACACACAGTTGTAATTTAAATAATAAAAAAGGACTTCAAAAACAAGCAATTCCACAAATAGGAATATATCAGTCTTTGTCTCTATGTAGACACAGCTTTTATAGTGATAGAACTTCTCTTTGTTCTTGATCTGTTTCATCAGATCACTGAGTTTGTCTCTGATCTCATCCTCTTTTCTCCTACATTTAACTAGAAAGGAAGGCTGATTTTCCATGTTACAATAAGAGCGGTAACATGGTCCAGTAGATAGGGAACTGGAGGGGGAGTCAGGAGATCTGGATTCCAGTCTTGGCTCTAACACTGACCTGCTCTGTGACCTTTGGGCAAGTCACTTTTTTTGTGCATTGGTTTCCCTTATTCACTCTTAACCTCCACTGTCTACTTAGATTGCAAGCTCTTTGGAGCAGAGATGGCACAATGGAATCTCAGCTTTCATTTCATAGATGTTTTTGCAATATAAACAACAAATCATACTAAAATGCAATAATACAATCTGAAGCTTTGAATCAAAATGTTACTTTTGTTTTAATTCCACCCCATCACAACAAGTAGCCTGAACAATATTACGGAATATGAAGTTTGATTCCAAGAAGCTTAGCAGGTAGAGTTCGAAAAGACCTGTTGGCAAAAAATAGTTTCTACTATTCATCCAAGACTGCTTCAAAAACATTTTTTTCCCCATCCACTCGAGTCATCACACTCAGTGCCACTAGAAATCCAAACTGTGAGGCATCTATCTATACCCAATTTGTTACAGTTATTCCAAATCGAAAACCTTTCTCAATCTTTCTGATATTGCTAGAAAGGTGTATTTTTAGGGAGGATTCACGTCAATCGCTCCAGCGTAGAATTTCCTTTTTTCATGCTTCAATCTTTCAATCTACATAATAACTTTTTAAGATATCTAGACTTCAAAAGGGTCAAAAAGAATGGTTTGGAAGACCTGTGATCTTCCGACTATGATAAGGTGTCAAAAATATATTGTTCCTGTCTCTCCTACTTCAGTTCAGCAATCTGGAGCAGGCTTGAAAGGTGTTCCATTTAAAATAATAGATAAAAGGTGCTATAGAAGAAGTATACGATCAAGAAAAAAAATAAGGGAATATTTCTTAACTATTTTCTTCCATCGTGTTCTCTCCATTTCAAACACATATTTAGTGATCAACCTGTTTGTATCTCATATACACACACACTATACACATGTGTGATATTTCTTCGCTATTGTGCCTATCCCTTAGCATTTATACTACTGGGTTCTTTTTGAAGAGCTATTTCACACATTGGGCCACGTTAACAGGTGCAACCACAGCTTTGCACCCTCAGGCTTCTCTGACGTGTGCTGGATCCTGGAAACGGGGAGAGTAAGGTGACTTAAAACCACCTCTCCCAAGTCCCATATTTTAATCAGGGAGAACAACCACAATATACGTTTCAGGCATTATTTCCATATACCAGTAAAGAGCAAACGAAGGAAATCAGCCCATTTTTTCCCCTTTACAAGTGATTTACTATCAAGAATCTTTGCATGAGTGACAAGATAGTCAGTGAAATATTTTTAGGGAAAAAAAGTGATAAAGGGAAATTCAGCTAACCTTTTTTTCCTTCCTTGACACTACTCGATAATATCTTTATCTGGTCTTATTCCAATAGAGTTAGAGGCAGACTGTTATTTCCCCACAGACAAATCCCACCCCCCAGTCTCCAGCACAGATGCACATTAGTACTTCAAACTGACGGCTACGTTTTTAAATAGTGGTTAGCTCCTTTGAGATGCATGGCCAAATCTGTGTACATATACACTTCAGTGAGGCATATCTAGCTAGCAGGACTCATTTGGTGCATTGTGCATCTTTTTTACGTTACTTGTAATTCACACAGGAATGTAACTGAAATACTTGATAGGAGACCATAAATAAAAAAAAAAAAAAAAAAAAAAAAAGGGCATTTTCACAAATCCTCCGCTTCCTTTCTAATTATGTGAGGTGCACCTGGGCCTATCAATCAACCTTTAACTCAGAGCCATCCATGACAAGATTATAGAGAGGCAGACAGAAAAGGACCAGAGAACTCATCAAGGAACTCTGTTGGAATATTCACTTTTGCTGAAGGAAGGCCTTAACCTTCTTTTCTCCAGCAAATTCACTTAACGGGTAATAGAAATGAAGGAAAGGATGTTGTTAGAGAGATAATGAGGGCTGCCAAGGAAGGTTTAGGAAAATGACTACCCACTTTGCAACAAATTTATACCAACAGAGGATTCCACCAGAGGTACAGGTGAGAGGCCACCGTTCCCCTTTAGAAACTCACTCCTAGCACCCTGCTTTCCACTTCAAACCATCTGCTCCTGCTTATTGAAAACCATAAACTGTATCATTTCATACCAGCTGAGGATGTGGCCCCCTGTATATAGAATGAAATGACACAATTAAAATGTAAAAAACAAAGTGGCAACAAACCACATACCAGACACAGCCAAATCAAGCTCTATGCTTTTAAAATAGGTTCTTCCCTCCTTAGCAATTCTCTGCAGATTATGAGTGGCCTCATCTCCATCGTAGTCACCACTGCAGGGCTTGGGTCGATGCTGCTTTGTACCCCGTGTAGTCCAATGTAATTCAGTAGCATTTTACCACTCTCTATAGGTTTAAATGGTTACCCAGGGGCAGGGCAATCTAGTGTTAGGTCCCTACTCTTTTGTGTTGTGTAAGCTCCAGGTGTGGAAAAGCCTGATTCACATACTTAGTTCTGTTGGAGCCATGTTGCCCATTGACTCCCCCATTATGCCTTTCATGCCTCCTACTGGGGATGTGGATGGAAGAGACAATGGGTAAATTAATGCACAGAGGGTCGGCATTAACCATTCTGCTACATCCTGTAGAATTTGAGGGGAAGGAGTGCTGAAGAAAGCAGATAGGCCCCTAGTCTACCTACTCCTACACAACAGAGCTCAGTATGGAGGAGCTTCCATGGAGTGGGGGAAAGGTAGACATCGAAGCTGCAGAGGTAGATATTCTCCTTTTTCAGCATCACCTCAGTCCACTCTAGGGCTCTGCTAGGTTTTTGTTTCCTCTGATCCCTTAAATGAGGACAGCACGTCCTATGACTCATGGAAAAAAATAAAATAAAGTGCAGTTGTCAATTGCGAGCTTCCTTACATATCAGTGCAAGGGAGTAAAGGGGTGTAGTGAGCCTCCTCACTTCTTTGCTTGGGCTACCTGCATTGCTAATCTGCACGCAGTGGGGAGAACAAGAGCCAATATTTACTATCCCATTAAGTGAGTGGAGCCTTGGCTCTGTGCCCCCAATATGCTGTCTAGTGCAGCAGAGTCAATACAGAGAAGGTCATAAATTATAACTAGCTTAGGGTTGGTGAAACCATTCACACCTGTGCAAAATGCGTGTAAAATTATATGAATGGCACCAATATGCACCCTCTTTTCTTAGGCATAAGTGACTATTCAAGATCAAAGGCAGTGGAGAATCAGAGTATAGGAGTCTAAAGTAACTCTGGATAATAGTATAGTTATTATGCTTTATCACCATCAATGATGCTCTTAAAAGAGGATAATCATTATCATAAATATAAAATTAGGTTCAAATATATGACAATATATGAGGAAAATATATCCATTACTTTATTGCATTAGATCTTCAAGTATTATGCTAAATGGCTTTTGCTTAATGTTCTGATTCTTTTTAATTTGTGTAAGGTACCCATATGCAGAGGCCAGAGACACCACTAGAAATCAGTCAGTGCTTCTCTATTGTTACAGTACACTGAGTTTACTTTCAGAACGTAGGGAACTGAATGTGACTTTGGACCTGAACCTGCATTCCCTGTGCTTCCAAAAACCTCACACATATAGCAATGGGATATTTAGAGGCACAAGGAATGCAAGATTAGGAATCGATTCTGTAAAGATAAATGTATTATTTATGATGTTACTTAGTCGTGCCTATGGGCCAAATTGAGATTGGATCCCCATTGTGCTAGCCTTTGTACATACACAGAATGAGATAAACATATTTAGAGCCGAACGTTAAAAAGGGACATGATTGTCCATTGATGTAAACCAGCATAGCTCCATTGATTTCAAAAGAGCGTCTCCAATTTACACCACCTAAGAATCTGGCCCAAAGTTTTTTTACAAGAGTGTCCATTTTAAGACATCCTCAGATTTCAAGCATTCCTACTTCACACGCTACCTCTCGCCCACCTCAACCTCTCTGTGAATCTACAATACCCACCTGGGGAAGTGAGGAAACAGATTGACAGAGCAAGACGCGTACCCAGAAATCACCTACTACAGGACAGGCCCAACAAGGACAATAACAGAACACCACTGGCCATCACATACAGCCCCCAGCTAAAACCTCTCCAGTGCATTATCCATGATCTACAACCTATCCTGGAAAATGATCCCTCACTCTCACAGACCTTGGGAGGCAGGCCAGTCCTTGCTTACAGACAACCCCCCAACCTGAAGCAAATACTCACCAGCAACTACACACCACACCACAGAAACACCAACCCAGGAACCAATCCCTGTAGCAAACCTTGTTGCCTACTCTGTCCCCATATCTACTCTGGCGACACCATCAGAGGACCCAACTACATCAGCCACACCATCAAGGGCTCATTCACCTGCACATAATGTTATATATGCAATCATGTGCCAGCAATGCCCCTCTGCCATGTACATTGGCCAAACTGGACAGTCTCTCCGCAAAAGAATAAATGGACACTAATCGAACATCAAGAATAGTAACATACATAAGCCAGTAAGTGAACACTTCAATCTCCCTGGTCATTCTATCACAGATTTAAAAGTCACTGTCATTGAACAAAAAAACTTCAGAAACAGACTTCAAAGAGAAACAGCAGAACTAAAATTCATTTGCAAATTTAACACCATTAATCTGGGCTTGAATAGGGACTGTGAGTGGCTGGGTCATTACAGAAGCAGCTTTTCCTCTCCCTGGAATGAAA